TCCGTGTCCTGCTCCCACATCTGCTCCTGGATCCTTTGGGATCTCCACCTCCCATCCACCGGAGTGACCGGGATTAGGAAAACTTCGGACAGTGTTTGGTCCTTGCCCAGAATCCCTGCCCAGCTCCCAGTATCCCTGTCCACTTCCCAGTATCCCCTGCCCAGCTCCCAGTATCCCCCGTCCACTTCCCAGTATCTCTGCCCTGCTCCCAGTATCCCTGCCCGGTTCCCAGAATCCCTGCCCAGTTCCCCAGAAAAGCCAGGGGTAGGGTTAGGGTGAGGATTGGGATCAGGATCAGGGTTGGGATTGGGGTCAGGATCAGAGTTAGGGTTGGGATCAGGGTCTGGATCAAGGTTAGGATTAGGATTGGGATTGGGATGCAGATCAGGGTTAGGACCAGCAGTGAATTGGGATCAGGATTAGGGTCAGGTTTAGGCTCAGGGTTAAAGTTAGGGTCAGGTTGAGGGTTAGGACCAGGATCAAAATCAGGATCAGGGTTGAGGTGAATTTAGAGTGACGGTTAGGGTCAGGTTTAGGATCAGGGTTAAGGTTAAGCTTAGGGTCAGATCCAGGGTTAAGATCAGGGTCAGGGTCAGGGTTAGGATCAGGATTATGGGCAGAGTCAAGGCTGGGATCAGGTTTGCACTTGGGATGAGATTTAGGGTCGGGATCAGGGTTAGGGTCAGGATCGGGATTAAGATCAGGATTAGGGTTAGGTTCAGGGTTAGGGCTATGTTTGGGATCAGCATTGGAGGAAGGTCCATAGAAAAGAAGGAAGATCCATAGGATCCATTGGAAGGAAGATCTCGCTGGAAGATCCGTGGGAGGGTCAAAGGAAGATCCGTTGGAAGGTTGGAACAAGGTCCTTGGGAATGTTGGAGAAACCTCCACTGGAATGTTGGAGAAAACCCCTCAGGAAGGTCGGAGGAGATCTGTAGGACGGCAGAGGAAGATCCATGAGGAGGTCAGGAAATGTCCATAGGAAATTCAGGAAGATCCATAGGAAAGTTGGATGGAAGATCCATAGGAAGATTGGAAAAACATCCATAGGAAGACTGGGAGAAGGTTTGGAGGAAGATCCATAGGAAGGTTGGGAGCAGGTCCACACCAAGGCCAGGGTCACAGCCCCTTTGGAAACCGCCATGGGAATTGTGGGAGACAATTCCAAGGATTTGAGGCCCACCACGGAACACCAGAGCAGCCACAGGGGAGCCTCACCAAGGAACAGGGAATGATCCAAACAATCCCAGGAACAGTTCCAGTGATCCCCAGATTCAAACAATCCCAGGAACGATCCCAGCCATCCCAGGAACAATCCAGCCATCCCAGGAACAATCCAGCCTTGCCAGGAACGATTCCAGCCATCCCAGGAATGATCCGAATGATCCCATGAATGATCCGAATAATTGCAGAAAAGATCCCAGCGATCCCAGGAACAATCCAAGAAATCCTGGGACATCCAGCTTTTCCCTGTCAGAGCTTCAAAAGGTGATTCCTTCTCTGCTGTGCCAGGGAAGCAGAAAAATGGGAGTTATCAGGAACGTGGCTCAAAAATGGGAATTATCAGGTACACGGCTCATCCTGCGGATCTTCAGCCACGTTCAGCTCATCCCTTCAGAGCTATGGATTTATGGGATCCTCGGAGTTCATCAGCATTCCCAAAACTAGGAGGTGGCAATCGAGGCAGTGGTGGATCCCAGCGGCATTCCAGAGTGTCCTGATTTTCCAGGAGGGAGCTGAGATGGGAGGCTGAGCAGGGAAGCTGAGGCACCAGGATGAAGGAAGTTTTATGGGATAGTTCTGAGGACAAGTGGAGTGGCAGGGATGGGATGGGATGGGATGGGATGGGATGGACCTCAAAACCCATCCAGGGACACTTCCCACTGTGCCAGGCTGCTCCAGCCCCAGTGCCCAGCCTGGCCTTGGGCACTGCAGGGATCAGGGGCAGCCCCAGCTGCTCTGGCAATGCCAGCCCAGGCAGGAATTGCTCATTGCCAAGATGCCACCCATGGCTGCCCTCTGGCAGTGGGAGCCATTCCCTGGGTGCTGTCCCTGCAGGCCTTGTCCCCAGTCCCTTGCAGCTCTGCTGGAGCCCCTGCAGGCCCTGCCAGGGGCTCTCAGCTCTCCCTGGAGCCTTCCCCTCTCCAGGTGAACATTCCCAGCTCTCCCAGCCTCTCCAGAGCACAGGACTCTGATTTCCTAGGATTCACCCAGGTGTCAGATCCCTTTCCTTTCCCATTCCCTGTCCATCCCGCGGGGACAGTGGCAGGATGGGGACAATGCCAAGGGGACAGCAGCGCTTTGAGGAGCTTTGTCCCCATCCAAGATTCCCACGGTGGCACAGCCAGGGGGTCCCACATGTCCCAGTGCCAAGGGGCCACCGGCCCGGCCACCCCTGGGCTCCTCACGCCACCCTGGCCACCAGGTGACCGTCACCAAGGGTGTCCAGAGGGTCCCTCCATCCCGGGAAAATGCTGGAAAGTTCCCTCTTATCCCAGCTTTTCTCTGCTGGGTCGCTCCCATTCCATGCGGGATCAGCACGGGGAGGGGGGGACGGAGCAGGACGGGGCACAGGGTCCTTGTCCCCAGGGCTGGGGACACTTTGGGGGGGCGCAGAGTCCCCAGGAGGGCAGGACCGGCCGGGAACCCCCACCCTGGCGGCGCTGCCGGAATCTTTGGGACATCCCCAGCGGGATATCCCACCCGAGCCGCGTCCCCCCACCCCGAACCTCCCCCAGCCCCGCTGGATTCGCGCCCCCGTTCCCAAACCCGGCCTCACCCCTTCCCTCTCCTCTCTTTTCTCCCCCCGCCTCCCCGCTCTCTCCGCAGACTTTTCAGTAGTTTAGGAGAACTCAGCACCATTTCCCAGCGCAGCTCCGGCACCACCTTCACCGTGCGGCCCGGCAGCCGCTACCCCCGTCACCCGCCGCACGCCCAGCCCCGTCAAACCCGCGGCGCTGGAGCGCCCCGAGCCCCTCAGCACCGTCCGGCCCTACGGCCTGACGCCCCCCACCATCCTCAAATCCTCCAGCCTCTCCATCCCGCACGAGCCCAAGGAGGTGCGGTTCGTGGTGCGCAGCGTCAGCGCCCGCAGCCGCTCCCCGTCGCCGTCGCCGTCGCCGGGGCCGCCGCTGCACACGCTGCACCCGCCGCGGCCCTTCATGCAGAAGCCGCTGCACCTGTGGAACAAGTACGACGTGGGGGACTGGCTGGAGAGCATCAACCTGGTGGAGCACCGGGACAAGTTCGAGGACCACGAGATCGAGGGCACGCACCTGCCCGCCCTGACCAAGGAGGACTTCGTGGAGTTGGGGGTGACCCGCGTGGGGCACCGCATGAACATCGAGCGGGCGCTCAAGCAGCTGGTGGACAGCTGACCGCGCCCGGAGCCGCCGTGGGAAGGGCGGGGCGGAATTCCCAAGCCAAGAAAACCCACTCGGATTCTCCTTCTCCTTCTCCGAGCGCTGCACTGAGGGCGTGGGGCCGCCGATCGCCCATCCCCGGCTCCCGCCCGCTCCCGCCCCGGCCCCGCGCCGCCGCCTCCGGCCCAGGAATGTTGCATGAAATTCCTCCTCGTTCCCGCTCTCCCGGAGAGGCTGGCCTGTAAATCGCTCCGTGCGCCCCGCCCGGGTGGCACCGGCCACACGCACGGTGGTGGCACCTCGGCGGCGACACGGCCTGGAGCCCCCGAGATGCCCGAGCGGGCGGGTGGCACCTGCGGGGGTGGCACCTCCCGGGTGGCCCTGCCACGCTCACAGCTGGCCCGAGATCCTGACAAGTCCCAGATGTCCCTGCCGGGAGGTGGCCCCAGCTCCTGACACCCCCCAGATGTCCCCGGCAGTGTCACAGCTGTCCCTGCCCGGCTTGGAGGTGGCCCCAAGTTCCTGAACCCCCCCGGGTGTCCCTGCCAGGGGGTGGCACCAGGTCCTGAACCCCTCCAAATGTCCCCGGCAGGGTCAGAATTGTCCCTGTCAGGGGATGCCCCCAGGTCCTGCCCCCCCCAACAGGGTGTCCCTATCGGGGGGTGGCCCCGGGTCCTGAACCCCCCCCAGATGTCCCTGCCAGGGGATGGCTCCAGGTCCCCCTCAGGTGTCTCTGACAGGGGATGGCCCCGGGTCCCCCCCAGGTGTCCCTGGGTCCTGAACCTCCCCAGGTGTCCCTGCCAGGAGGTGGCCCCAGGTCCCCCAGGTGTCCCCATCGGGCTCGGAGGCGGCGGCTCCAGCGGGGCCATCCCGGCGGCGCTCCCGGAGAAAGGAAGGAAGGAAGGAGGAAGGAAAGGAGGAAGGAAAGAAGGAAGGAAGGGCCGGGAAGGCTCCAGCGGCGGCCGTGCCACCCCGAGCCGTGCCAGGCCGTGCCAGAAGACCCCCCCGCCCCCGCCAGGCGGACCCCCCCCGGACTCTGAGCTGCTGCCCCGGCCGGGTGAGAGGGAGCGAGGAGCGCATGGATCGAAGCATGTTTGGGAATGTCGGGAGGCTGGGGGGGACGAATCCCGCAGCAAAAAAACGAAAAACACAAAAAAAAAAATCGCTTTGGCAACGTGTAGAGGGGAGGGGGCGGGGGGTGGGAAAGGTTTGATTTCCTCTGGGCTTGGGGTCTTGTTTTTTCCAAAAGGGGGGAAAAGCGTTGATGGGAAATTATTTAATCTCCGTGCATTTATCTAGAGAGCAGCTGATAAGCCCCACGAGATAACGAATTACAGGATCCTCCCCCCTCCCCACACACGCCTTCCGTCCCCCCCCCAACCCCCAAAACCCTGCTCATCCCTCGTTTTGCATCTTTTTAAGCAGCTCTATATTTGGAAAGAGAGAATATCTATATATCTATATCTCCAGAGCTATAGCCACCTGATTTTTGTTAGGATTTTCCTAAAAGAATTCCTATCTCTGGACTGGAGGAGACGCTCCCGGCACGCCCGTGGCTCGCGGGAGTTTTTAAGCGACTGAATGAATGTGAAAAAGTCTTTTTAAACACACCACAAAAACCCCTAAAATCCCCCTCCCCACCAACCCGAAACAGCTCCTTTCAGACGCTCTGGATTTGTAAAAATTCAGAGAAATCACAAAAACACACACACACACACAAAAAAAAAAAAAAACCACAAAAACACAAACTTGCGTTTTGGGACACACCGAGTCTTCCAGGCACACAGCAGGGAGGTGTCCCCGATTTTGGGGGTCCCAGGGCTGGCGGTGGCCGCGGGGACGATGCCCGGGGGAGGGGACGCTCCCCGTGGTGTCCCCAGCGCCACCCGCGTGTCCCCCGGGCGGGGGCGGCCCGGCTGGCCGGGAGGGGAGGGCTCGGTGCTCCCAAAAGCCGAGCGAGGCCCCCAGGAAGGCATTAACAAAACTCTTCTGGTGCTAAGAGGGGAGGACAGGGAGCTCCGTCCTGACCCTCAACATCTCCGAACCTTTCCGACCTTGCCAGGGAAAAGGGCCCGGAGCTCCCCCGGGGTGTCCCCAGGATGTCCCCTGTCCTGTGTCAGGGTACCGGGACCTCCCCGGGATGTCCCCTACCCTGTTTCGGGCACCGGGATGTCCTCAGGTTGTCCCTGTCCTGTGTCGGGGTACCGGGACCTCCCCGGGATGTCCTCTGTCCTATGTCGGGGCACGGGGATGTCCCCGGGATGTCCCTGCCCTGTGTCAGGCACCGGGCTGTCCCCAGGAGGGTCCCCGGTGCCATCTCCTTGTCCCCGAGCCCTCACCCCCATGGCGACCCGCGCCGTTCTTTCCCCATCCCCGGCTGCCACCCCGCTGTCCCAGCCGGGAACGGGGAAGGGCCCGGTGGGCGACGAGCCGGGAAAAAGTATCCCGGGAAAAACAAAAACAAGCCGGGAATGGCGGGCTCGGTGAGCCCGGCACGTCCCGGCCCCTCCCCTGCGCCACCGCGGTGCCACCGCGCCCGCCCGGTGTCCCCTGCCCAGCTCAGGTCCCGCCCTCGGCCGTGTCCCCGCAGCCCCCGCCGCGCCGCCCATGTCCCATCCCTGTCCCCCCAAGCCAGCGCCCGTGTCCCCAGATCTGCCCTGCCAGCCCCACGGTGTCACCAAGTGTCACCCTCGGCCCCCAAACCCTCCGTGCCAGCCCCGCCCACGGTCGCCTCCCCGCAATCCGCCCTCTAAACCCAGCCCCACCCTGCGCCCTCCCACCGGGGCCCCAAATCCATCCCACCCCTACCGCCAAATTCATCCCACCTGTGCCCCCAAATCCAGCCCGACCCTGTGCAATCTCCCCCAGATCCATCCCACCCTTATCCCAAATCCATCCCACCTGTGTCCCCCAAATGAATCCTACCCACATCCCCAAAATTCACCTCACCTGTGCCCCCAAATCCATCCAACCCTTATCCACCAAATCCATCCCACCTGTGCTCCCAAATCCAGCCCGACCCACATCCCCCAAATCCATCCCACCCACATCCCCCAAATCCACCTCACCTGTGCCCCCAAATCCCTCCCACCCACATCCCCAAAATCCATCCAACCCTTATCCACCAAATTCACCTCACCTGTGGCCCCAAATCCTGTGCAATCATCCACGAATACATCCCACCACTACCCCAAATCCTTCTGACCCTTATCCACCAAATCAATCCCCCCCACATCCCCCAAATTCACCTCACCTGTAGCCCAAAATCCATCCCACCCTTATCCCCCAAATCCATCTCCCCTGTGCCCCCCAAATCCATCCTACCTGTGCTTCCAAATCCATCCCATCCCTTACCCCAAATTCACCTCACCTGTGCGGCCAAAATCCATCCTACCTGCTCCCAAATCCATCCTACCTGTGTCCCCCAAATCCATCCCAGCCCCCTCACCTGGCCGGTGCCACCCTTGCTCTGTGTCCCCGCTGTGTGCGGCATTCCCGGGACACTCCGGGCTCAGGGACAGGCTGGCAGCTCCCACCCCAAATCCCGACCCAAATCCCACCCCAAATCCGATCCCGTCCCAGATCCCAACCCCAGCTCCCATCTGACATCCCATCCCATCTCCCACCCCAAATCCCGTCCCAAATCCAATCCCATCCCAAATCCCATCCCACATCCCGACCCAAATCTGGTCCCATCCCAAATCCCATCCCAGCTCCCATCCCACCTCCCACCCCAAATCCTGTCCCAGTTCCCATCCCAAATCCCATCCCAGACAATCCCGTGCCACCCTCCTGTGCCTCTCCCCTGCCCCCTCCGCTTCCTGTCCCCTCTGTCCCCGTGTCCCTCCGCCACCTCCCGGTGCTGTCCCGAGCTCCTCCGCACATCCCGGGGCGCTCCCGGCCCCTCCGCATCCCGCCGGGAATGTCGCACGCGGGAATGTCGCACGGTCGAATGTCGCATGCGGGAATGTCGCGTGCGGGAATGTCGCGTGCCGGAATGTCGCACGGCGGAATGTGGCATGGCGGGCGGAGCACGTCCCGGTGCCGTGGAGCCGCTGTGGGATTGGGAATTCCCGGGAATTCCTGTGCCTGACCCTTCCCGGGGCCGCTCCCCTGGGGGATCCCGGTGGGGACGCGCCCGTGGCTGAGCACCCTGGCTGGCACTGCCTGGCACTGCCCACCCTGCCTGGCACTGACTGCCCTGCCCACCCTGGCTGGCACTGCCTGGCACTGCCCACCCTGCCTGGCACTGACTGCCCTGCCCACCCTGCCTGGCACTGCCCACCCTGCCTGACCGCCCTGCCTGGCACTGCCGGGCACTGCCCACCCTGCCTGACCACCCTGGCTACCCTTGCCTGGCCACTCCAGCCTGGCACTGCCCACCCTGCCTGGCACTGCCTGACACTGACCACCCTGCCTGGCCATTCTGACCACCCCAGTGTGGCACTGACCACTCTGCCTGACCACCCTGGCTACCCCTGCCTAGCACTGACCACTCTCTCTGGCACTGACCACTCTGCCTGTCATTAACCACTCTCCCTGACCACCCCAGCCTGGCACTGACTGCCCTGACCACCCTGCCAGACACTGACCACTCTCTCTGACTGCCCGTGCCAGGCGCTGACCACCCTGCCTGGCCACCCTTGCCTGGCATTGACCACTCTGCTTGGCCGCCCCTGACCATCCTGCCTGGCACTGCCCGACCACCCTGACCACCCCAGCCTGGCACTGACTGCCTTGCCTGACCACCCCTGCCTGGCACTGACCACCTTGCCTGACCATTCTGACCATGCCTGCCTAGCACTGACCACTCTGCCTGGCACTGACTGCTTTGCCTGACCACCTTGCCTGGCACTGCCCACCCTGCCTGGCACTGCCCACCCCAGCCTGCCCTCCTGCCTGTCCCTCCCTGCCCCTCTCCCCTGTCCCTCCCCATCCCCGCAGCCCCGGCAGCCCCCGGCGCTCTCGGTGTCCCCTGGGTGGCACCGCTGTCCCGGTGTCCCCTCGCGGAGCCCCCCCGGTGTCCCCCGGGGCTCGGGGGCTCCGCGGGCGCCACGGGCGCGGGTGGCAGTGACAGTGGTGGCCTGAGCGCGGGCAGCCCGGCGCGTCCCGCCGGGTGTCCCGGGTCTCCGCCCCTTCCGCAGCTGTTTGTCGGGGCCACACCGAGACGGAGACCCCCGCCCGCGGCCGCCTCTCGCCGCGAGAGGCCGAACCGCGGAGCGCAACCGCTCCGCTCAAGCTCGCTCTGGGACCGGAGAGCTGTGCGCCTTCTCGCCATTTCGGAGGAGCCTTCCCCTCCCTCCTCTCCCTCCTCCTCCTCCTCCTCCTCCTCCTCCGCGCCCCCCGAGGGCGGAAATGGCGGTGCCCGCTCCGCGCCCGCGGAGCCGCGGCCGTGCCCGGCCCGCACCCCCAGCTCCCGCTGAAGCAGCTGCAGCCGTACCTGTGTTGGCGAACACTGAGTGTCACCCGCGCCGCTCGCGGGGACACCACGGCTCGTCCCAGTCAGGCCCCACGCCAGAGAAGGCGACTTCCACCCGCACTGCCCGTCCCGAGAGCGCCCGGCGCTGCCACCGAGCTGCCCCCTGTGTCCCGCAGCCTCCTCGTCCTGCTGTCCCTGTCCCCTGTCCTGTTTATCCCTGTCCCCTGTGCCGGGCATCCCTGTCCCCTTGTCCCGTTTATCCCTGTCCCGCTCCCCACTCATCCTTTCTCTCCTGTGTCACTCATCCTGTCCTCTGTGCCACTCATCTCTGTATCCCTGTCCCGTTTATCCCTGTCCCATTTATCCCTGTCCCGTTATCCCTGTCCCTGTACCACTCATCCCTGTCCCCTTATCCCGTTGATCCCTGTCCCGTTAATCCCTGTCCCCAGCCCCTCTCATCCCCATCCTGTTCCCTTGTCCCGTTTGTCCCTGTCGCCTTCCCCACTCATCCTCCCCTCTGTGTCACTCATCCCTGTCCTGTTCATCCCCGTCCCCAGCCCCTCTCATTCCTGTCCCCTGTCCCACTCATCCCTGTCCCCTGTCCCACTCATCTTTGTCCCCAGCCCCGCTCATTCCTGTCCCCCGTCCTGCTCATGGCTGTTCACCGTCCCATAAATTCCTGTCCCCAGCCCTGCTCACTCCTGTCCCCTGTGCCACTCATCCCTGTCTCCTGTTCAGGTCATCCCTGTCCCCCACCCGTTCATTCTTGTGCCCTGTTCCACTCATTGTGTCCCCCACCATCGTTATTTCTGTCCCCCGCCCTGCCCATCCCTGTCCTCTGCCCCACTCATCCCTGTCCCCCTCATTTCCCATCCCTGTCCCCTGCCCACCCCCGTCCCCTGCCCATCCCTGTCCCCTGCGCTGCCGCGGGGACATGGCAGAGCTGGACAAGGGACTTCCAAAAGGACATCAGGGTCCTCAGGCGAACTGGCTTCACCTGGGGCGGCCCTTCCAGCTGCCAGCACAGACCCCCGGTGTCCCCTCCGTGTCCCCCCCGTGTCCCTCCGGTGCCCCTCGGCACTCCCAGCCTGTGCCCCGCTGTGCCACCGGCCGGGGGTGGCCCCGTGCCGGCGGCCAGGGTCACCCACCCGGTGCCACGGTGCCCATCGGCCACGGGTCGCTGCCGTGGCCGTTCGCAAAGCGCTGCCGTCCCCTTCCCGGGAGTGATTCCCGGTGTCCCCAGCTCCTGTCCCCGCTCCGGCCACGCCGCCCGCCCGCTCCGGACCCCTCCAGAGCCGGGGCCACCTTGCCTTTGGAAAAGCCATCCGGGAGAAGGCAGAGCGGGAGCCCAGCTGACCCCCGACCCCGGCCTGGCCCCTCGGCCGCGCTGACCCCTGGGGTCACACTGACCCCCCGGCCACGCCAACCCTTCGGCCATGCTGACCCCTCGGCCCCCCCGGCTCTGCCAGCCCCCGGGTCACACTGACCCTCGGTCACAACAACACATCGGCCATGCCAAACCTTTGGCCACGCTGACCCCTCGGCCACGCCAATCGGGGGTCACGCTGACCCCTCGGCCACGCCAACCCATCGGCTGTGCCGACCCCTCGGCCACATTGACCCCTCGGCCACGCCAGCCCTTTGGCCTTTGGCCCCGCCAACCCCTCGGCCATGCCATGGCCGCGCCAACCCATTGGCCAGGCTGGCCCCTTGACCACACTGACCCCTCGGCCATGCCAAGCCTTTGGCCGTGCCAAACCCTTGGTCAGCCCTGAGACCCATTGACCCCACAGCCACACTGACCCCACAGCCACACTGACCCCTAAGCTGTGCTGACCCTTTAAGGACCCTTGGCCCTTGGCCATGCCAAGCCCTCGGCCACGCCAACCCTTTGGCTGTGCCAACCCTTTGAACACCCTTTGGCCCCTTTGGCCACGCCAACCCGTCAGCCATGCTGAGCCCCCGGCCATGCTGACCCCTTGGCCATGCCAATCCATTGGCTGTGCCAGGTCCTTGACCGCCCTTCAGCCCTTTGGCCATGCCAATCCTTCGGCCATGCCAGCCCCTTGGCCGTGCCAACCCCTTGACTACCCCTTGGCCCTTTGTCCATGCCAACCCGTCGGCCATGCCAACCCATTGGCCGTGTTGACTACTCGGCCATGCCAGCCCATCGGCCGTGCCCACCCTTTGACCGCCCCTTGACCACGCCAACCCCTTGGCCATGCCAAACTATTGGCTGTGCCAAGCCCTTGTCCACCCCTCGGCCGTGCCGGCCCCTTGACCACGCCAACCCCTTGGCCATGCCAACCCCTCGGCCATGCCAATCTATTGGCTGTGTTGACCACTTGGCCATGCCAACCCCTCGGCCACGCCAACCCTTGGCCACACCAGCCCATTGGCCATGATGACCCCTTGACCACGCCAACCCCTCAGCCACGCCAACCCCTTGGCCATGCCAACCCATTGGCCGTGTTGATCACTTGGCCACGCCAACCCCTCGGCCATGCCAACCTATTGGCCGTGCCAAGCCCTTGACAACCCCTCAGCCGTGCCGGCCCCTTGGCCATGCCAACCCCTCGGCCATGCCAATCTACTGGCCGTGTTGACCACTTGGCCATGCCAACCCATCAGCTATGCCAAGCCCTTGACCACCCCTTGGCCACACCAACCCGTTGGCCACGCCAAGTCCTCAGCCATGCCAATCCATTGGCCCTGCCAATCCATTGGCCGTGTTGACCCCTCAGCCGTGCCAACCCATTGGCCGTGTTGACCACTTGGCCATGCCAACCCTGCGGCCATGCCAATCTATTGGCCGTGCCAAGCCCTTGACCACCCCTCGGCCATGCCAACTCCTCGGCCATGCCAACTCCTTGGCCGTGCCGGCCCTTTGGCCACGCCAACCCCTCGGCCACGCCAACCCCTCGGCCGTGCTGACCCTTTGACCACCGCTTGGCCTCTTGGCCACGCCGACCCCTTGACCACGGCTCGGCCACGCCAACCCAAGGGCCGTGCCGCCCCCGGCCGCGCCGCCCCCGCCCCGGGCCGCGGCGTTACTGTGATTCCTCTCATGGCTTCTCCACCACTCGGGTTTTTCCGCTGTACAAAGGGAGACACTTTTCCTTTTCTTTTCCCCCCTGCTTCCAAAGGGGTTTTTTCCCCCCCAAGCTGTCGATATTTTTCCGTTGTCCAGCCCGGCGCCATCGCCCCCCTCCATCCGCCCGTCCGTTCCCCCGACTGTGACAAAGAGCAGAACCCCCCGGGGTCACTCAGCTCCCGGGGGATCCCCGGCCCCGCCGGCCCCATCCGTGGCGGGGCCGCTGTCCGGCCGGCCGGCCGCTGTCCGGCCAGGCCCTCACTGCCCATGCATGTGCCACGCCCTCACGCCCGCTGCATGTGCACAGCCCGGCCCTGCCACACTCTCGGTTCCGTCCCCCAGCCGGACTCACCTGTGGGTTTTCGTTCCGTTTTTAATTTCCCAGGGTCAGTTTGACTTCACCCTTAATTTTGTATGGATTTTCGGAGGAGCTTTCTCCTTCTCCGGAGTCACGGAGGTGCGGCCATTCGCCTCCCGCCCTTGACGTTGTGATACACATCCCCCACAGAGATCTATGTTTCTTATATTATATTATTATTATTAATTATTATTATTATTATGTAATAAATTTATAAGAAAGCTCCGCCTGGTCCTGTGGTCACTCAGATCCCGCGGTGGTCCCAGCCCTACACAGG